CCCTGAACCTGAGAGTAGAGTCCCAGTATCTACTCATTGTTTACATGTATATTTAATAGCATGTAAAAATGTGAACTGGGTCTTGTTCTCATAAATGTGGTGACAATATTAGCATACATAAAATAAATAACTTGAAGTTTTACAATATGTGCAAAACAAAATCTGTTGATTGGACCAGTAAATAGATATATTATTTATAAAGTAAAACTTATAAGCAGATATGATAAGAGGATTTCAAGGATGTGATAGAATATAATTTTTTTTCTTTGCACCTAATTCTTCGAAAAATCAATATTTAATTTAAATCATAAACCCATTTTTTATTTTGTTGAAAAATATAATGCCTTTAAATCTTGCTTTATATGAAAAGAAAATTATATCAAGTTTCACAAAAGATTAATATTTAATTGAGGATTGATGATTGAGATGATCGGTCAAAATAAAAAATAAATAATTATATTTAATTATTAGTATTATAATTATTTATTTTTTATTTTGCCTGATCAGTCCAAACCTCCTCTTCGATTAATATTTAAAGTAAAGTTAAAGAGGTAAAAAATGTTTGCAATGAAATCTAAGTTTGAATGAATGAAAATAGTGTAAGTACACCCTGTTTGAACAATTTCTTTTGTAAAAAATTTGTCAACACGAAAAATGTAATTGAAGCTATAATATGTTTTTTGATTTAGGTAACCAAATTACTAGATATAATCAAGTATATGAGTGACTTCATATCAAAGACGGATGGATATCTGTCATTTAAAAAACAAAACAATTTTTGTAAAACAGGTACAATTTAAACCAGGGATGCCCATCTCCCTCAAGGTCGATGGAGCAAAAACCTCTCCCTCCCCTCCTTCCAAGATATTTAATTGCTCTTTTCTTCTTAAAAACAGTGCAAGCTTAAGTAGAATTTAAAAAATCGTGACCCATAAACTGTTACAATCTCAGTGTTCTGTTCTTTGCTTTCCCCTTGTTAGTTAGAAACTTTACGATCTGAAAATTCATAACTCTGTCGAAATGTGCCCACTCAAAAATACAAAACCCTGTCAAAATGTGTCCCTCAAAAATTTGGATGATGAAATTCCGTTCTGGGCACCACTGTTTTCTCCAGGATTAAATTTGAAAATTCTTAAATAAAATAGTCAGAAATAGTTTCAGTTGAATTTTTCAAAAAAAGGAACTTTTTTACCCTTTCAAAAAATGACAGATGTCGGTCTTTGAAATGAAGCCACTCATTTATATAGTTAAATAAAAACTGTCCTGAGTCATTATCAGCACATTTTTACTAAAGATGTAAGCATTGTTTTTATTGATTATGATTAATCATTTTGAATTAAACTGTGGTAAAAGGTTGTGAAATAGGGCCAATTTAATTTGAGGACTTAAGAATCTTTCATTCTGCCTGGCTCATTTTTATAATTTAACTTTGAGACATTAACCATGAGAGCAGATATTTTAAAAGCGAGATCCTGACTTAAAAGTTGCCTACATTCTTAATATTAATAAAAAATTATATATTTTGTAGATAATGGCTGCATCACAACAGTACAACTTTATAGTGCTGCATTATTAATATGTCAAATGCCGGTTGTTCCAATTCATCACCCACAACCAATAGTCTCTTTGAAAATAATTAATATTGTATCAAAAATGACTACTAATGACATCTCATAGTCTTTCTATTACCATACCGAAAAAGATGAAGATACCAACAAAAAATGTGGATTTTTTTCAACAATCTATTATGTTGTCAATAACGATTAACAAAAGATTAACTTAATAACATTACTTTTTTGTGAACTGTGGTTTGAAATAGGGTTCAATTGCTAACAGTAAAATTTAAAATCTGCCTAAACTAAAGCTGTTACTGTTAATTCTTATCAACAGAAATATGTATCAAATAGATAGTACAAGACCTATTTAACCCAAAATTTAGGAAATCTAATGATGCGTTACATAATAAAGACAGTATCACATTTCATCCAGATTGAAAATAACACAGCAGGAATCTGTCACAGTAGAAAAATAAAAAATCCCTCAAATAAACATATAAAAATTTGTTTGGCCATAACACATATTTAAAAATCAGTAAAATTATGATTACTAAATCATGTTACGAGTAACCAAAAATTCATTAATAAACATCATTAAGGGATGCGGTACATAAAATATAATAAAATGTATATGTGCAGATTTTAAGGTTTGAATTAAGTGTAAAAATTTACTTTCTACAAGAAATTATAATATTGTATAAAAGAAAGGGTAATAATTATTGGGATAATGTAATTATAATGCATAATGCATTAGGGAATATCTACAAAATATTGTTTTAATGCAAAAGAGGAACAGTGATTTTCATTAATCATGATATATTTTATTAAAAATAATTATGCTTACCTCGTTTCACATCACAGGAGAGCTAAGCTCAAGCTATATGACTATAGAAGTAAATAATTACTCACCTTTTGTTTACCAGAATTAGAACATTATTAGTAAAAGTTATGGAAAAAAACATTCATTAAAACCAGGTTTCACAGTATAAAAATTCATTTCTTCATTAACAAACTTTAAAAAAGGAAATCCATGACACTTCACACAACAGCTTTGCAAAAATGGAATGTGATTAACTTTAAAAAACAAGACTTACTGGATAAATTAGACTATGATTATAGTATTGTTACTTCATAAATCCATTATTAAAGAATTTAACATGAATATATATCATAAGAATAAAACGTAACACTATAAAAATTGGGGTTCTTAACCTTTTTGTTTCAGGAATCCTTCTCTACCCTTTGATAGTAAAGAAATTCACTTCCCAGAATAATAATAAATAACAGGTGTCATGGCCAAAATAATAAAAGTTCAGTATGATGGGAGAATTTTAATAATAAAACATTTAAAAAAAGGGATTATATATATTTAATACATTTATATATTCTTAAGTGCCTTATGTATGATTCCACATCCGTTAGCTACATAAACATTATTTAATTATATTTCAGAGTTTAAGCTGTCTTTAAAAAGATTTAATGGGGAAAAAAAGGTTTGGGTAAAGATTTTTCCGAACTAAGCTGAGTTAAATTTAATAAAGAAAAAGAAACTGACCATCAATCCATAGCAAGTGGTCCAAAATAAATTAAATTAGTTGCTTGGGCATTTTTAATATTTTATATATTTTCTAAGTTGATTACTCATTCAATGTTGCGTTTTGAAAAAGGTGTTTAGCCAACGTTACATATCAAAGTCATTACGTTATTTAAGTTTATTTATTAAATTAAAAGAAAAAATAATGTATACATATAAATCATAACTGACCCCTTGAAATTATACTGAGGATTGGCGGTTAAGGTTAAGACCCCATGATTTAAAGAAATGAAATATTTAAAATGAACTTTCAAATCCAACATCATGAAATATCCATTCCATTTATTCATGAAATTTATTAAATAAAATATATCATCAAGTGCTTGAGAAAAAAATCATTTGTTTATAAAAGTCTCAATCGATGGATAGGGTTATATCATGCGATTTCTCAAAACAACACTAAAATTCAGAGCCTGTAATGCATTAGTGACCAGTTCGTTTAACACATTGTGATAAAGAACACAATGTTGTACATTAGTACAGTTTCTGATATATTTAACATTTTATTCTAGTTTTCAATTAGAACATATTTAAATCAGAAACTGCACATTCTTTTTGTCTTCATTAAAACAAATAAAATAAAGCCAAATCAGATGTTACAAATCAGCAAAAACTTTTATTATTCTTAAGGGCTGCATACAAAATCCAAAAAATTATCTTACATAACATTTTTAAATTATGAAAATATTCATGGAATCGTTTTACATTATTCCTTACACAAGTGAATTCCAAACAATTCATTCAAAATAGCACTAGCATTCTAATTCTTTTATCATAAATAGGAAATAAACATAAGTTAAATTATAACAAACATTTTTAAACAATATTTACAAATTATAAATTATCTTATTTTATGTTGTTTTTTTTTCTTTTAAATTTAATTTTACTTTCTACAATAGAAATAACTACACTAAATTTGATAAATATATTATTATATTTAAGAATGAAGAAAAAAGGTTCTTTCATAGTATTACTGAAGACTTTTCCCCCTAATTTTTAAGTAAGAATCACAATAGGTCGAAGAAATATCACTATTGGTTTTGAGTCGGCTACCAATACTTTAAGAACAGATTTTTATTTTATTTAATTTTTTTCACTAGGAATGTAGAAAATATCGACCAATTATTAATAAAATCGTAGGCCGTAGGATAAATCTAATCAGGTAATAGATACTAATGTAAGGATAAGAGCATGCATTACAGTACCAACGAGCACATGCCTCATGCATTATGCATTTAATCTGCAACAGATTCCTTCCGCTGCAAATACTGATCATCCCCACCTACATCATAACAAGCTTAATAATACAAAAAATAAATAATAATAAAAAGAAATATTGTTCAAAATTATTGTCGTGAATTTTATTTTCATTAGGCATTAATACAAGGATGAAAACTAGAAAAAAAAAACAAAAAAAAAAAAAACAGAAAATTTAAAATAAGCTTTAAAGTTAAATTGTTAAAAATTAACAACAAACTAGAGAGTTTGAAATGGATCAGTAAAAATTATAAGTAGCAAAAGTTATTGCTAAAAAACAAAAAAAGAAAACACGAATATATATATTTATTAACTTTTACCAAAGGTTCGCCATATATTTTTTTTTATTTTACCTAAGATTATTAATGCAATCTGATTGATAATACTACAGATAAAAAACTTTTTGATTTGAAATTTTTAATAAGTACATGGTATTAATTCTTGAAATCCGCGTGTTGCTCAATGAAAATGAGTATTGCATAAACAATTTACTAAACTTATATTTGATACTATAGAATATTTGTTGTTGAGGAGACTAAAAAAAAAAAAATACATTGATCAGTTTAGAAGAAAAAATAAAAAAAAATATTAATTGATTTAGCATGAAAAAATGTTTGTATTATTATTTTTTTTTTTTTTTATGCTGCATTCATACTTGTCAGAACAGCAAAGGAGGCTTTTGAAACAGTAATATAATGTGTCAAACAACTAAAGTCGGCAACTTTATTTGATATTAATACTTCTAAAAACTAGGAACCACATAGTTAATCAAATAAAAATAAATTATCTTGATTCTTTTCCTTAATGATTCTACTCCTCAGTCTGCTAAGGTAATAATGGAGGGAATCTACTTTATCTTAATAGCTGTTTTAGAATTTTATCCTTCAGTTTTAGAAAAAAGTATGTCACAACAAGCATTTAATTTCATTTAAAATATAACACAGAAAATTATAACAATGAGGACTAAATTGAGAACCAGTGGCAAAATTAATAAATAAAAAAAGCGTAAAAGTTAACAAAGTAGAAAAATTATACCTTAGTTCCAATGCAGCCACATTCTTTGAGGTATACAATATGCAAAATAAAATTAATATTGATCATATAAAGCATACTGCATTTCGTGCGTACTTTTAAGTACAATAGGCAGATAGTTAATTGCTTACCATACTTAAAACTTATAAATATAAAAGAAAAAATCAGATAATAAACAAAAGATTAATTCAGAAAGATGCAGGTTACATTTATGAAGCAGATAAAAATATCTCTATTGCCTGTATTTAAAAATTAAATTCCAATAAGCAGCTTGATTGTTACCATTATCAATAATTTAAACCAAATGCTCTAAATAAAATGCAATAAAAAAAAGGAAAAAAAAAAAGTTGAAGCTGTTTAATGTTTGAAAATCAAGGCAATCTAAAAATATTACTTCTATGATCAATTAATTATAAACTACATTTTTTATGGAAGGTTTTTTTTTAGACATACTGACAATATTTTCACAATAAAGATATTATGGAGCAATCAATCAAGCTTGGCCTGTACCTTCGAATGCACAAGTACATAAATACATAATACTATCAATCAGGTTTCTGTACCTTTTTAATGACAGCAAGTGATAGGATACATTGACAAAAAACAATATAACAACAACTCCAAAGCTTAAAGCTCAATAATGTAACATAAATGAAGTCGATTTAGGATAAAAAAAAAAATTATTTCACAATCAATTTATCAATCAAAATTTTTCTTAAAATATTCTAATGACTCAAGGACAGGCCACTTATTAGAGCCATAATTAAACCCTCATTCCCTCCTTACAAACTATATACAAAATATATACTATTAATTTATGATTATAAATATATAAATTCTTGACCATCAAATTTTGGTTTCAAAATCATATTTATTATGAAAAATAACATTAAATAATGAAATGGACTATTTACAGAAACTATTCTTCCCCATTTATTAAATTTTTCTTTTTGATCATCCCATTTCGCCATCTTTTACACCCTGATGTTTAGTTGAGTTGTTCTCAAGTGATATGACATCAGTTAGTTTAGGCACACATAGTTAGTAATATAAGCTATTGCAAACATGAGGGGTGTCCTGTGAACCTCTTTGTCTTCACTCCAATGCTCTCTGCCAATTGCATTACTTCCTTCTTAGCTAACGGGGTTAAAAACATGATAAAACAGAAATTGGTATCACAAGTCCACTAGCACATGACACGCATATCACCTCCAGCACTGACGCATATCACATTAGCCTGGCCGGCTATGCACAGTTCCTTTATTAGCAGTATTACTTATGTATAAAAACCTGAGAAAGACGACAAAAGAGAGGGAACATTGAAAGGAAAAGGGACATGTGTGGGAAGCTTCCAGCCCTAAGAACTAAAGGGGGCCGAAGATGATGATGAGGAAGAAGGTAGACCACATGAGGACGATGCCATGACAAGTTCTCAAGTATCCCTTACCATCGGCGATCTTCCTTGCAACAAACTTCAATGTCTCATCTAGCAGTACAACAGGGATTGAGAACTTCATCACCGTCAGCCACTCATCAACAGATAATGGAGTGACTTGAAACACAGTCTACAAAAAAAAGAAAATAATAATATGAATATCAATTAAACAAAACATAGTAAATATAAAAATTTAATATCATAGTCATAAAAAAAAACAGTAGACATGATTTTCAAAAAGTGACCTATTAAACGGAAATGTCTAAAATGAGAATTGTGAACATTCATATCAAAATAGCTAACAAAAGTTTGAAATATTGAAAAAGCAATGTATGGTAAAACAAGTTAATGTTAAAAAATCATGTCCCTATTCTCAACTGGTTTTTATAATTAAAAAAAAAAGTAGCGGTAAATATTTAAAGAAATATAAGCAAAAACTTTATAGTGAACACATTACCCATTAAAATAAATAAAAGCATACCGAAAGAATGTCGACATAAAGGATGACAAAGTGAAGTGAGAAGGAAAGAGCCATGGAGCCAATGAGCCACATGTTACACCATGGTGGCATCGTAAGCAGAGACTGGTTTTCAGACAAGCTAAAAATAAATAGGCACAATAAATATCAGTAATAATAAATAAACAAAGTAATATTTAAGAAAAATACTAAATGCACAGCTGCTAAGACTCAAATAACTGTGATAACAACTTTTTTAAATATCATCAGTTCATTCAATAATTTTTATCAATTATATAAAATAATGATATTTTATTAAAAATATATAAGCTCTGACAATAAGGCCCCCATTTATTAAGAAATACTCATAAAAAGTCAACCAAGCTAACATAATACTGACAAGATTAAAAACAGACATTAAGGATAAATAACTTCACAAACATCAAAAACAAAAGAAATGATTAGTAAATATTTAAGTAATATTATCTTTTTAAAATAATGACTGACCTGTTCATGGCATTCAACATCTCAATCGTGACAAGAACAGACAAAGCCATTGTCATGGGGTGGGGATCGTGGAAGATGTTGCAATCGATGCCGGCAAATTCAGTGTTTCCGGGGAGGCATGAAAGGTGATGGGTCTGAGAAACCAAGAAAGATGCGAATATAAGACACAGATTTTTACCAAATATATAACACAGACATTGAGTTTTATATTTCTAACCAGTTGATAGTAGGTCATCTGTGGTCCCTCCGGTGAATACATAAACCACCAGCCAGCAGCTCCAACGGTAGCAGCACCAACATAACCTCCAACGGCGAGGTAGCGGAAGAATAACCAGCCAGAAATCAAACCTTCATCGGCTTTCCTTGGTGGCTGAAACAAGGATAAACTACAGTTAGAGGTTATTTTTTTTTAACATTATTTGAAAAATTTAAAAAAGAAAATAAGGTTTCCAAAAATTAATTAATTTTTTTGTAAAGTAGTAAAGTTTTTTAACATTATGAATCTAAAGAATATTATGAAAATATAGAAAGTTATTTTTGAAAAAAAAAAAAAAAAATTACATAAGTCATATCAAGGATAACAAAATTGTCGATACTGAAACAGATAATATATATGATAGTAACCTTCTCCATGATGTCCAAGTCAGGTGGGTTGAAACCAAGGGCAGTAGCTGGGAGACCATCAGTAACCAGGTTGACCCACAACAGTTGTACAGGGATAAGAGCTTCAGGCAGACCCAATGCAGCGGTTAAGAAGATACTAAACAAAAGTAAATATTTTCATTATAATTTGTCTCAAGTCATTTAAATGGATAATGATTTTATATATTTATTTTTAAATAGCTCGAAGGTATACATATCATACTGACCTTACGACTTCTCCAATGTTTGATGAGATAAGGTAACGAATGAACTGTTTCATGTTGTTGTAAATGGCCCTGCCTTCCTCAACAGCTGCTACAATGGATGAGAAGTTATCGTCAGCAAGTACCATCTCAGATGCTGACTTAGCAACAGCTGTTCCTGAACCCATAGCAATACCAATCTCGGCCTTCTTCAGAGCTGGAGCATCATTGACACCATCACCAGTCTAAAATATGATTAAAAATGAATAATGATATAGAAAATAAATATTACCACATAAAACTTTATAGCAATGGCTCTTATTTAGATCTATAATAGGATGACGGAGGAAAAAATAATCTTTTATTAATTCAAATATTATGATAACATAAACCTCAGTTACTGTTTGACTACTTAAGTTACTCACCATAGCAGAGATTTCATTCATGCTCTGGAGGTATTCAACAATCTTGGATTTGTGAGCAGGTTCTACCCTGGAGAAGAGCCTGGCCCTGGCACAAGCAGCTTTTTGTTCAGATAAAGGAAGGTCATCAAATTCACGACCAGAATAGGATTTGCCAGTTGTGTCTTCATCTTCACCAAACACTCCAATACGTCGGCAGATGGCCTCAGCCGTGGCCTAAAATAAGATGAAAGAAAATTAATCAAGGAATCATACAAAATAATAACAAATGTCTTAAAAGTAGTACTCAACCAACCTTGTTATCACCAGTGATGACAATTACTCTGATACCAGCAGCACGACAACGAACAATAGAATCAAAGACTTCCTTCCTGGGAGGGTCCAACATTCCAACAACACCAACAAATGTAAGACCAACTTCATAGGTGTAAAATTTAGTGGAGTCACCAAGATCCATTTCGTCGGGTTTCATTGGGTTGTCAGCAGTGGCAAGGGCAAGGCAACGCAGGGTGTCACGACCAGTACCATACTGCCTAGTGAGTTCAAGGATGCGGTTCTTAAGAGTAGCATTAAGAGGAACCTAAATTTAAAAGAAATTAAAGTATATTATCATATTAGCTTTATTATGTAAAAAATAAATAAAAATTATATGTCAAACTAAATTACATACTTTGGTGGAACCAATTCTGGCATGGGTACACCTTTCAAGAACACCTTCAGGAGCACCTTTAACGAAGAGTTTGGGACCAGTGCCAAGCTTGGATGGCTTGAGTGGTGTGCAATAAGAAGACATGGATTTCCTGTCCCTAGAGAACTCAAGGGTGAATTCTTTCTTCCATTTGGTTTCCAAATCCTGCTTGACAACAATGGCAGCAGTTCTCCTATCAAGACCAGTCTTAGGAACAGAGAAGGGATTCATTTTCTCAGCAAGGACGATTAGAGCTGTTTCAGTGGCCTCTCCTACCTGTTCACAAACATTAAATAATAAATAAATGGTATTTATTTCATTACATGTTGACAAACAAACTTGATCATTAATAACACAAAAAATAGAAAGTTTGACTACCATAAGTAGATGACTAACAAACACTACACATGGAACAATGGAATAGTGGACTGAAATGTTTGCAGTTAATGGCACCACTGATGAATATTCCAAAAGCAACTTCAGGAGAAAAATAAAGGAAATATCAGTTAACATAAGCTGTTTTAAGGCATTACCTATCCCTAGTAATTTTAATCCAGATCTTTTAGATCTAAATTTATTAAAATGAAATGCTGTAAATGTGGAACCCGAGATTCAGTCTAAGAGTCAGACCACCAACATTAAGAATATACTGAAAAAAGGTTAAGTGCAATTTTGAGGATCTTGATTTGTGTTTGTCAACTCTAATTTTTGTGGATGGCCAAGTCAGTTAAGACATTGTCCCTTTAAGTATTCTCAAGAGAAAAGAAGCCCCAGTTTGCACTCAGCCTGGACAGGTTGAAATTTACTTTATGGAGGACCCACAAAATGAATCTCAAACTTTCCACAATGGCTAGAAAAAGTAGTTTACTTGTAGTAAAATCTATCCTTTCTGCCATAGTTGGTTTAATTTCCATGGACCCTTCCTCCCTAGAGCAGATAATGGTGGCATTGTATTGTATTTAGTGACCTACAATGTTTGATCTTGTCGATATATTGTCAACTGAAATAATCATTAATAAGTTGAGATTACATTATACCATTAAAAAAAATCTGAGCAACTGGCACTACAATGATGTTATTTCAACTTTAAAATATAAAATGAGAAACTGATTTTTCATATGTTTTATTATTGCAGTTGCAGAGGACAATTAAATATCACGGTTGAATGTCAAGAGTGCTCGGTATAGAAGTAAACCTTTCTAAGAAAATCCTACTTTCAGCATTTAGTAATAGCACATGTTATATTTCTGCTCCTAGTAATAAAAATGGATATGAAAAATGTATTTTTTTAAAGTTGACACAGTGATATGAGTTAAATTATTGTCAAAATAATTTCTATCCTCTTCCATCTTTTTACGTGTAATAATACAGAAGTAAATTTCAATATTATTATTACTGATTACTTATAATTATTAGAATTACCACTGACCACTCTTCCATGCCAAATGGAAATTAGCTGGTGAGTTTAAAACATTTTTTGTATTCAGACAACTTTCCTTTAATCTTGATATAACAATATTCCAGTCCGCCAGGTGATTTCAAATTTAAAATAAACTTTAGTACACAGTCATCCTCTGGTCTCAAAGTAACACACCCATATATGATATTAGGTTAGGTTATTGTCAGTTCTATAAAGATGGGCAATGAGGACCACTCCATTCCAACACCTCCATATCAAATGGAATGATAAATGACCATTAGCATAAGCTAACAACTTTAAGAGTGATGTGGAGTGGTTGGGATTCTAATGATCTTGAACTACATTGTGCAACCATAATCGTAGAGAACTCATATAGAGGTGGAATGATAAACTATACTTTTTCACATTCATTGTCATTCTACATTCCATTTCATATGGAGGGATTGGAATTGAGTGATCCTCATTGGGCATCTTTATGGAACCTACACTAACGTAAGCACATATCCTACATAGATATGTAACTTTGGGACTTGAGGATGACTGTGTACTGGAGTTTATGTTAAATTTGAAATCACTTTGTGGACTGGAAAATTATTATATCAAGATTAAAGGAAAGTTGTCTGAATACAAAAAATGTTTTAGCCCGCTAGCTAATTTCATATCCAAAATAAACTAGTATACTGTCACCCCCTAGTCCTAAAGTAATCCTTGTTTACGGTACAGTAAATTCTAGTCTCTAGCATGTGGCAGATATCCAAACAACTACACTGTACTATTCCAACTATGCTGCTATATCACATTCAGGCATAGTTTAAGCAAAACTGTATCAAGTAAGCTATAACTAATAATTACCTTTTCAAAGGCCTGCTTGAATTCATTAAAATCAATGGAAGAGTCATTGCACATGATGCAGATAGTAGCAAGTTCATGGAGTGTTTCAAATTCAGATCCCTTAACTTTAGAGCCCTTAAGGAAGATATCACCAATTGGTTCATATGTTGATCCAGTGATTTCAAATTCACTGAAAGAGCTGTCAGATCCTTCAATCTTCTCAAAAACAAACATCCTAAAATAAAACGATAAAATTAATTTAAATAATACAGCTGCTCACTAAGTACAGTCTGTTAAAATGAAAAAATAAATAATATATTGAATTGAGAGTTAATTAACCAAGTTCTTCACCTGCTAACAGACATCTGGTTGGTAGTAAGTGTTCCAGTTTTGTCAGAGCAGATTACAGAGGTACAACCTAAGGTTTCTACAGATGGCAAAGATCTAACAATGGCGTTCTTCTTAGCCATACGACGTGTGCCAAGGGCAAGACAAGTGGTGATGACAGCAGGCAGACCTTCAGGGATGGCAGCAACAGCTAAGGCTACAGCAATCTTGAAGTAGTATACAGCACCCTAAATAAAAAGAAAGATACGAAAGTTTTTATTGTAAGTATTTATTTTAACTAACAAGGAAGCATTTCTAAACACTAAAAGGATATGATGATATATCGTTTTTAATTACATTGTCAAATATTTCAAAGACCGTGGGTTAAGAGGAAAGCATAAACTCCTAGGACAGCGAGATTGGAAAGAGAGCAGGTTCCCTGGGACTGACTGCTTCTGAATTAAAAATGGCTACCACAATGTTAACACAGTTTAATAATTTTTTTTCTGAATTTAGTATTTTTAAGTTAATTTTTAGCTCCACTGTTATTCAGATAAACCATTTACAAAAGCATAATTTTTATATATATCTTAAGTTTTCCTTGATAAGTGAAAAGGAAAATGAAATATCTGCAGTAAATATAGCAATATAAACTAAATTTCTCCATTATACACACAATTGCTTAGAAAATGAATGATCATAAAAGACTACTGCCTCTCGTCTTGCTACAAATATTTTACAGAAACAATAAACTAGAATAAATGATAAACTTGATTTTTTTTTCTTCATTGTAAATCAAGCATGGATCAAACAAATGTACTCCACAATTTACCTTATTTTTGTTATTATTAACCCAAAACAGTGCACTACCGGCTAATAAAAACATGTAATTTAAGTATTGTGACAACATAATGATGTGACTTAAAATTTTCTTCAAATAAGTTACAATATATCGACTCGGCTATTGGACTACGTGAGGATGTAATACCTCCAGATTTTACCTAAATTTGCAATCCGGAAATAAAACCTTTTTAGGATCTTTATTTTTTTTTTGTATAAAGTTTCAAATACTTGCCTTGATCCAAGATCCACCATGAGCGGGATCGTTAAAGTGCCCAATGTTGATGGCCCAGACAGCAACACAGATGACAGAGATGACCTTGGAAAGTTGCTCACCAAATTCATCCAATTTCTGCTGCAGAGGAGTCTTAATCTCTTCAGTCTCAGACATTTCAGTTCTGATCTTACCAATGGCAGTGTTGAGGCCAGTTCCCATGACAACACCTCTAGCCTTTCCAGCAGCAACATTGGTACCAGAGAATAAGATGTTCTTTTTGTCCTAATAAAATGATAAAATGTTATCAGAAACAATCAGTTGAGTCCAATGTAACAATGCAGTAAATGAACATAAAAATTAGGTTACAATTGGAAAAATTCTAACCACACACCCTGATGTCTCCAAAATGCAGATAAGAAATAAAAAGCCCATCCTAATCGTGGGCGGGTTTTTTATTCTTCATCTGATAAATCAGTAAAAAATAGCAATTATCTATACTTATTTAATTGGTATTTATAAATGATACTCTACATAACACAAATAACGAAACCAGATGAGAGACAATTAAGTAATCACCAATCATTGGGATCATAAACTTCCAATTGGTCAAATAAACGGAACAAATAGAAGGAATCTTGAACTTTGTTTTGTGAGTGTGAGATCTATCAAAACCACCTTGTTTGCTTTTTAACAACTAGTGAAAAGGGGTGGTTTCAAATGCCAAAATGTTACAAAAAATAGGGGTTCCGTAATATCCTTTAATGAAAGGATACATTAAAAGAATATATTCTTAGATCCCTTTTTGTGCTAGTATATTCTGGATAACATTAACAGTTTTGATGATGATCTTTTTTGAGTTAAATGTGAGAACCAGACATGTTTATGGCACTACATTATTCTTTATGAAGTTTTATTTTGGTATAATTAAAAAAATTAAAACTTTCAAATCCCACTTTCTTAATAAAACCAATAGGAACAGTTTTAAAACCGTTTAGATATTTATTAGAATGGCTAGACTAACTAAATAAAAACATTTTATTAAGTAACCACTAAAGATACCTGGTTGACAGCCCTTGGGTCTGGAACGGGGTCAGTGTGCTTGATGACTGACACAGACTCACCAGTCAGGATGGACTGATCTATCCTCAGGGTGGTAGAGTAGATCTTGGTCAGCCTGATATCAGCAGGGATCTTGTCACCAACTATTGACATCAAACATACAAGTTCATTCATAATTATTGATTATTTAAACTATTTAATAAATTAATAACATCAAAACAGTTTTCTGGAGCCAGATAGTTTTCTTTGTTTCCATAAGTAACCATAGAAAAGGAAACTTAGTTTGTGGAAAACATCCCATGATAAAAAAAAAATGTGTTTTGTGTATAGTTCATTGTAGCGATCTTTTGTACAGTTTAAATAGGTAGGATTCGTTAATTGTATATATTGATGTATTAATATATAACAATATTCACATATTAAGTAAGCCATTAATACAAAGGTGAATCAAACAGAAATGTTGTCAGCATGCAGATCCAAGTTTCATAGATGGAGTGAAAGGATAACGTTTTGTTTTTGATGTGTGGGGAGACGGTTGGATTAGCAGTCTCACTCTTTTCAGTCCTCAAAAGAGCAATGGCTAAATAGAAAGTACATTTGCCTCTTGTATAATGCCATATTCAAGTTCTTAACAAGTGAAAGTTTTAAACACGCAATTTTTACTAGTTTGAAAGACACGGTTTGGGAAAACTACATTACATGTCGTGATTGACTTTGAGAGGTTTGATTGTGCATTTTGAGAGGTTATTGAATGCGATTGCCAGTTCACAGTTAAATTAATGTCAATAAAAGTAAAAATGGAAATTAGCTAGAGGAGTGCTCAATACATACATTATCACTGATCATTTTGGTTTAAGATGAGTTAGAGCTCATAGAATTCCAAGATGGTTGAAAGAACATCAAAAACACAAACAGGTCAGGTAGGAGATCAGTGAGATTTCTGAACTGATTTTGACAAGAAGGTGAAAACGTTTTGAAGCACATCATCACACATGAGACACTGATCCATCATTACTTCTAAGTCATAAATGGCAAGTAAGAGCAGAGAAAGGAGAGTTAAGGCAGAAACCAAAACTAAACTAAAGGCAGAAAACCTAAGGTTAAGATGGGCAGGGCATGTAGCTCGTAGTAATCCATCAGGACGCCTCTATATGACAATGAATGCCAGAGTAGTAGGCAAGAGACCACATGGGAGGCCAAAAACCAGATGGATAGATAGCGATAAACAAAGATACGGCTGAGCTTCATGCCGCAAACTGGAAAGCAGTAGCCCAAGATAGGCAGAGGTGGAGAAGGCTGGTTCAGGCAGCCAAAGATCTACAAGGTCTATAGAGCCAACCGAAAAAAAAAAAAAATATATATATATATACATAGGTAAGACTGTAATTTAAGTCTAGGCAACATCTCTGATGGACGTACATTATTCTTTTGTTTTGTTGTTGAGAATTAGCAATAGTAATCCACATATCTCAGCAATAGAAAACCAAAACCAACAAATAAAACTCCGCTTGAATAAAAATTGTTGATTTTTTATTTTTTGACAAAGCTACAAGTTATTACTATACTACATTGCATAGCCTCAAATGCCCACCTTTTAGCCCAGACTCTCCACCATTGCTAAGAGTAGGAATATGGTATATATCATTTTAGTTAAATATTGACAATGAAATATTTTGCGATCGAAAATGGAGATATTTAAATATATGTTGAAAGTAATGAAATTGAAAAGTAAAAATTGCATGTAGATATGGCTTCAGTATGATGAAATCTGGTGAATGCTTAATAGAGAACAAACTAATAAATAAGTGTTTATAAATAATGACACAATAAAGCAGATTTTAGATTATCCTTAGATCCATTTATGAATGTATATTGATTAATTTATTTTCAAATAGTTCACCTGAAACTTCAACAATGTCACCAGGAACGATTTCCTTAGCTCTAACTTTTTGTACACCGGCTTTGTCAGCACGAACAACCTTGCCCATCTCAGGTTCATACTCTTTGAGGGCTTCAATGGCTGATTCGGCATTCCTCTCCTACAACAGAATAAATATCATAGTGCTTCTAAAAAAAAAAAAAAATGAAGTGACATAATCATCCATATAGCAGTATAGATTAAAGATAGTTAGTTAGATGATTAATCTCTTAATTATATCAGCAGTAAAAAATATAGTAGATAATGAAATAAAGACAGAAACGAAGAAAAAAACACTTATATACCTATTTTAAATTGTAAAATTAAATTGATGCAGACTTACTTGCCATACACCAACGACGGCATTGGCAATGAGAATAAGTAAAATAACGAAAGGTTCGACGAAAGCTGTAATTGATGTACCTTCTTCATCGTGTTCTTCAAATAAAGCTAGAACCTGTAAAAGAAAATGAAATATATTATTAAATATAAAATAACAGATTAATCTACATTAACAATAACTATAACCTATAACTAAATAAATAGAAAAATGAAAAAGTCTTCTACATGGTTAACTAATAAATTCAAATGTTTCAGACGGTGTAATGAAATTAATCGCCTAACTTTATTTATAAATATACAACCAATTAAATCTGCATTATATTTAAATTTATTATTAAGATATGATATCAAAACATTTTGCACATAATGTAACCAATTCTGGTAAATAATAGTGTTATTTTGATGTATGTATTGAATTTTTTTACTGATAAATATGATCCAAATTCACAACTATGTTTTTAAAAGTTAAGCTCCATCAAAAGTATACTTAGGGACATTTGATAATAAACAGACAATATGCATATATATAGACGAGGCAGAATTTTGCTAAACAGAATTTATTTAAGAGATCAGTTAGTTATCAAGTTAAAATAAAATAGTCTTCCAAACAGCACATATGTATCATATACAGTAAAACCTCTCACCATTATACACCTTTCCTTAAGGGTAATTTTCCTATATCCCTTCCATAGCCTAAATATAGAAATTTAGACCTTTTTGAAATGAGACCCTTCAAATGAACACGGTCAGCTGAATTTTTGTCACAAGGAGATAAATTTATTCCTCTAAACAGATACACGAATTTAGATAACCATATTTAGTGGTTTGAGGATTTGAAACAAATATCTTAAATTTATTCTTTTTATTTAATAAAATGTTGTTTTCCACAAAAACGAAAGAATTTGTGAATTCAAATAATACTTAAAAAAATTATATTAGTCAGCTTTTAAAATTAGTAATGTAAATACCTAGATTGTTTACTCATTTTGTTCACCAAGTTTATTTTTTGCATTTTAAGTATACTTATACATACATAATACATTCTGAAACATTATACATATAAATAAAACTAAACACTTTGCTAATGAAGTTCATTTATCAATTTAATCATTGTTGGGATATATATATTTATTTGTTAATAAACCCTTGTCTCCTCCTTTGCAGAAACCTCTCTGCGATAAACAAATCCGCTGGACTCACGGATGGCCGTTGCGGAGAAGTTTCAATGTATGTTAATATATATTTTTTATTTATAAAAACACATTTTTGAAAACTTGCCAAATAACTGAGCAATTAAGAACTGCCGTTAAATTTAAACATGAATGATGTGTTATTAATTTATTTATTTATATATATATATATATATATATATATATATATATATATATAATATATATATATATATATATATATATATATATATATACATCCTGCTATAATGTTGAGACGACATAGATTAATTGGCGTAGGTAAGGAATTACGAACTCTAAATGTATTATAGAATGAGGTCTACTATTTAGGTTATAAAAATTCACATGACTGTCAAGTGTGGGAAAAAATAACTACATATATGGAATAAAATCAGGGTTTGATGTTAATATCAATCACTAAAAGGGTTTTAAAACCCTACAGATCTTCCTCCACCAAATCCACTTCGCCGAGATCAAACTCAATAAAATCGATCCTCTTATCTTATAAATCTTTTTTACACTTCATAGGTCTATCTATTCACCATTTGGTTCAGTGTTATAAGGATGGTACCATTTCAGATATTATTTCACTTTTAAGGAAAATGATATCAAAAGAATATCGGTATCTCTAATAAATTTGACGTAACATTTGAATAAGATGGGGAGAGAGTGAAGGAGTTCTAATAATTATAGACAATAGGTTAATAAACTGCGGTCCGTGAGAATTGAAAAACAATTTCAATATTAACTAGATTTCTAGATGGCCGACAGTGTTCAGACATCAAATTAGCAGCCTTGCAGCACCAGTTCAAAATCAGTCTGGATGGGTTGAAATTAATTTTGTGGCAGACCCATGGAATGAATATTTACCTTCCCACGCTAAATAGAATAAGTAGTTTGCCAGAAATCGACTGGAAGAGAGAAAAAACTTTCCAATTTTTTTAATTTATTCAAACAACTAATTTAATAAAAATTCTATATGGTCAAGACCTTGTATTTGTTATTATTTGACTGGGCATTGGCATATCAACATAATATTTTAAGTGTTGGATCCAAGAAAAAAATGTTGATCATGTAAGATCAAGAATTCCTGATAGAGATCATTTTATTATTATAATTTAAAACCCTATTATATATGTCAGGAATAAGTCTAAACATACAAATAAACTATGTTTAAATTCGAATGAGGAAAAAATATACAATTTTTTATATTATGTCATAAATACATATGTATCAGTGATGACAAATTCAACCCAATTCACATTTTTTGTACAATTATACACAAGCAACTTAGATTATCTATGTATGTATATAATATATTTACTGTGATAGAGTGCTAACATGTATTGAGTATAACATGTACTATTATAAAATGTATAATTAATAAAATAAATGTAGTTACAAGCACAGAATAGCTTAACTTCTTTAACAAATATTCCTACAGAATAATAGACATAAAGATTGCCTATTCAAGCAAACTGAACATCTCTAAATGTTCTTATGAGTTTTTACAGTTACTTGGCAAACAAAAGTGGAGGTGGCCCACTTGGCAATGGAGATGTGCCCTTTTGATATAAAACTTTTTAAATTAAATAAGATAGTAATACTTACAAAAGAAATAATTGCGGCTAACAACAAGATTTTAACTAGAAGGTCATCGAATTGTTCCAATACTAACTGCCATATTGATTTTCCTGGAAAAAAAGAAGAAAATAAAAATTAATTAAAAATAACCATTATTCGGTTCAGAGATTGTCTTTTATATGATGTAGAACAATTAGAAATAAAATCTAAAAAAAAAATAATAGTAAAAAATATGACAAAACAAAGGCGATTTAACATTTTTTCTGATTAAATATGAGTAAAATTAAAACGATCTCTTCCCTTTCGTAAAAATAAAAACAGCAGGTGACATATACATGGATTTACATCGATTTCCCCGTAGTTGAAATAACTGAAAACGAACTGTTAAACAGAACACTCTGAACGCCCAACCCGATTATATCTTAGTAGCAGATACGCAAAACTGACATGACCGCTATTTTACTTGCTATCAGATAATGGAAGCAATGACATTGATGGGTCTTTTGTTACAGGCGCGGAAGGGAGAAAAAAAAAAAAAAAAAAAAAAAAAATGGTGGCGAAAGTTACAGAAGGTTAATTTATTCTCTAGTTAAGGGTGAGTGTTCTCTCATTTGGCGCTACATGTACTGGGTGAAGTTTGTGAAGCTCACAAAAACCACAGGAATATTATTAAGAAATATATTATTTACTCGGAATTATTGAGTAACAACACGTTGGTAATATTTTAAATTTACCTAATTTGATATTTTGCTGTAATAAGATTAATAATTAATCTTAAAGAACATATCTTTTATCTTATTGATTGCGGGTTTCATGCTCTAACGTCAATATGGATTTCGATAAGTGGGGATCAAATAAACCTAATAGGTAAAAGTGTGTTTTTGGCTTTTGACGTTGGTTTATCCCAAAATGAAAAGAACGAAGCGGGGATAGGTAGAACTACTTTAATATCATGGGAATTGTGAAGAGCGAGTACATTTTAAAACGCGACATTTAACATAGGAAACGGTGCTTATGGATATAGTGAGTCAGGAAATGACTGATAGAGAGCGAAATGAAATGAGAAGATAATATCTGATATAAAACAATCTTGAATTTTTCGTCATATATTTAGTTTCGCGGCAAATTGTGGTTCTTCAGTTTATAGTATCAAGAAAAATCACAGTCATCATGTTCAGTAATTTTTTATGAGTATTGAATGATTGTTGGGGAGTCCAAGGTCTTTCATGGACCATAACGCCGAGGGAAGAAGAAGACTGAATCATGAAATCAAGCTAGCCCATGCCTGAATGGTTCTGTGGAACACAATCCTTCGAATAGAACAAGCGGAGATTTATTTATATTAAATGTATTTAAGATTTAGTTATAGTTAAGATTATTATAGTTGTATAGCTAAGCTATGATTTAAATTCCCAAACGACAATGAGAGATTTAGAATTATTTTAATTGTATTAAAGCCTTTATAACAATCTAGAGGAAAAGTAAAAGCTGAATGTAATATGAAAGCGTAAAAAAGCAAAAAAACAATACAATCGATTAATGCCTTAGATTCAGTACTTGATAAGGTTCTTGAAGGAGACAATGTCAGCATCCAAGTTGATGTGACTGGTTTATGTACACCAAATTCGACCCCGAGCTGATATAACAGAATGGATCGATTATCAACGAAACCTCGACTCAAACGTATAGTGAATCCCTAAACCCTAATTTATTAATAGATTAAATCGTATTAATATTGAAATACAAAAAGAAAACCAACCACTTCAAATATTTCAGCAGAGACCAGGACGATTCGCGAAGTCTGGCAGAGATCTAATAGTTAAGGAGAGGGCCAAGTTGATTTGAACTGTAGGTACATTTATTCCGGATACAACATGCGAGCCAATTAGTGAGATATCTATTAAAATGATTACGAGAAATTTATACAGAATTTAATTATTTTTATAAAGGTATTTATTTAATTTAACTATGTGATAAAAATGATACAATAAAAACAAGACCAACAAAACAATAAAGTAAAGGTTTAGCACTCCACCGTTCTTTGCAGAATTCAATTCTTGGCCGATACCTATTTATTCCATAAAATATATTAAAACAATTGGCTTTCACTGATGATTCAGAATTAATACATAAAAGAGAAATTTAATTGAGTCAAAATGTCGTCAGCGGAGAATATCTTCCTCCAAACAGCGTATTGAAACTTTTTTTTTCTTTCAGATTTTCGATCCGAAAAATATAGTCCCTCTTAAACTAGGCAACATATTTTTTCTTGTCAGCCTAAGAAGAAATAAATATGAAAGGGGGCGGCATGCCGTAAACTGTTTTTTAATGCCGCGGCACCGCGTAAACTGTTTTAGAGGAGGGTCACCAGAGGTCATCACAGTCGAGTGACCCAGTCTCAATATACACCCAGCTATTTTCCTTAGGCAAATTTTTTATTGTGTTGTTGCTGTGTGATCATATTTTCACAATTAAATTAGTTTTTCTTTAATATTTCTTGTTATAGGAATCTTTAGTATTTCATCAAAAAACATTAAGAACAGTATTGGTCCTTGGGTCCTTGTTCAACACTAACGGACCTGGAAAAACCAGGTCAGAAAACACAAGTGAAATCTATCTAGTATTTAATATATTCGATTCCTAAGAAATGTATAGACCTGGTAGATTGTGGGGGTCAGTAAGCAAGCATCCATCGATATCGGAAGTAAAGCTAAGGAAAGAAACCAAGAGCTTTCCCTCGACAATCTCGACTCTAGCAACGCTGGTTTGAAATTTATTTCGTGGCAGACCCACAGAATGATACTCGACCAACCCACTCTTGTTAGAATAGGCATGGTTGAAAATCTAGGACAAAAATCTCGCTCCTCCCGTTTACCAGAAATCACGAAGTATGGGCTAATTGAAAAAAGAAAATGAGAAAGTGAGTTCTAAGTGAAACTCCTAGATGAACACACCTCCCTGATGAAGACCTGCAAAGTCGGGTCGAAACGTCGGCTTTCAATAAAATAGTTTTACCACTATTTAGCCTATTTATGACAGCAACCACGGACCATCTCCTTCCTTTGAAAAAAGAAAATGTTCTAAGTGAATCCCGATAGATTTTTAGAATATTAAGATGGATTGAACAAATATAGCAGAGGTGCTCTTCAAAAAGGCGAATCCAGCAAATGATTACCTTTCCGCAGAGCTTATTATTCAAGAAGTTTTAGAATGTGACGCGTTCCTGAGCCACAGGCTGATCTAAGAAGGGAGGGGGGCTTTCGGTCAGAAGCCCTTCCCTCTTCCAAAATGGTAAAATATAACCATTTTTTATGGAAAAAAAAAATAAAAAATTAACTCTTAAGAGTATTATTGTTCATGTAACTACATTTAATAGGACTTCAAGAATCACCATTTCATATAGGTAGTTAGTTTCTTTTTTTTTTCCAATGTAATTATCTTTCTATATATTTAAAAAAAACTTTCGGGCTGAAGCCCCTCAAAAAATTAAATCCTGTATCCGCTCGTGTCCTGTAAGGATCTTAATACGTGAACTATGAAATTAACAGATTCGGTACATTGCTAACAAATGACGTCATGAATTAAAAATAGGTGAAAATACACAATTCGTCGAAAGCGCCCATTTTGCAAAACACCTGCAACGGGTATATATCCAAGGGTAATTGTACAATTGGAGTTCAAGTTTGAACTTGATTGGAACTCCAATTGTACAACTGGCCCTAACAGAGTTTTCAACATTAAGGGACCGTGTATAAATCCGACAATGAAACAAAATATCACGGAAAGTACAAGAGTTGGGAGAGAACAGTTCTACTTTGGTCATAAATTCATAATATACGTAGGTTATTATTTTCAATTTCATAGGGCATTCGCAATAATATATATATATTTTTTTTTTATCATAAATTCATTTCTTTTGTCAATAACCCAATTTCAACTGCGATTTAACCAGATTTCATGCTTTCAGGAAATATTGTACTTTTCGGCAACTTTTTAGTTTATATTTTAAACCAGTCTTGAAATTATGGTAGACACGAGTTGAAAAAAATTAATATTGAGGTTGGAACACCGTAGTTTGAACTCAAATCCTAATCTCTCGGTATTATTTCCTGCCGCTATGCAGGTGCGGGAGAGAGGCTGAGTGATAGGGTCTTTAACAGAGGATTGCTTTAACATTTCAACGAGTCGAAGAATTTAATATGTCTCCTCCTGATGAATTCTGGGACTGTTGGAATGTTTAATAGCTGTGGAAGTCCGTGAGTTTTTAACATCTCATGAAAATGCAGTTCGATAATTGTATCAGAGCATACAACTGCATTAAGGTAAGTGGAAATTCACGTTTTCTATAAAGGGATATTGCGGAATGGTTAATTTATTATTATTATTACAAGGTTAGGGAAAAAAATATATAAGAATAAGAAAAGGTTTTTTTGAACACAAATCTTACGAGACATTGTAAAGAAAAATGTAAATAACACTATGCTAAACTAACGACACCACAAACACGGGAAACAGACTTACGTCAGTACTGAGGAAACCTCTAATAAAATGCCGAGTTGTAATAGTTTAAAAAATAATGCATTGTAAATATTCAAATTTTTTGGGGCATGCATTACAATCGTGGGGAAGTTTTAATTCTTCAATAAAAAATATGTTAATACTATACTATCAATTAAGAATAACGAGAAATTAACAGGTTTAAAAAAAAATGCTTTAACTCACAGTTAAAAGTTTAATTTACTTTATGGAAGTTAGGTAAACATTTGAAAGAATAAATATAAATAAATTTTGTATTGACAGTAGAGCCAAGAGGCGAGTTTCTGAAACTTTCTTTCAAACCTTTCTCTAATTTTTCGTGAGACGTTTAATCTCAAATAAATTAAAAAAACAAAATAAATTCTAATCAAAGATGTGATCCCAGAACAAAAATGGAGGGCGACGTTATTTTAATGATAAATTGTTTGATTACTTTCAAGTAAAAAAAAATAATAATTTTAATTGTCTGAAGAACTAGTAGAGTTATAATAATAATTTTTGGCCATTTAGGACCACCAACAGCTAGTAGCTAGTGTTGCCCAAAATCGGCACTTTGCAAGACCAAGACCAAGGG